AATATAGAATGTACAGTGGTAAGGATGTTAATGTGGACATAAAAGTGACGTTAATGTGTATGATGCGACAAATGCAGGAAAACATTGAAAACATCCGAAAAAATTGTTTAGGACGAATGCAGAACAACAGTAACAACATGCAACAACTGTATGGTAATAATACAAATTCCACAGTCAACGCAACCATAACTGCAGGAAAGCAATGGACAGAGATTTGAAAAAATACGGAATAGAAACAGCGACCTCAAACGTGAAACAAGGAAAAAGATGTCCAGTGGATTTGACAGTAAACTGGTTCATGAAGTCAGGAATGAGTTGCAAGAGGCTGAAGGGCGAAGTAACAATCCGATTAAAGCAGTTCGCGAAAATAAATTGAAGGGGAATAAACGAGTGGGCAGCTTACAAAATGTTGGCAGCATTAAGCGCTGGGGTTGCATAAGAACGCATTGAGTTGAGTAAAACTGTGATCCCACACGCAAGGAAAGCTGCAGCAAACGATTCACGTGCTCATGGATTACTGAATTCCGCATATGAGCTTCTACTGCATGGCATACTTGCAGATCATTCAGAGCACAGCACCTATTTATCGCCTGTGTATCAAAACAGAAAACGCCACCCCAATGCGAGAAGAGAAAATTAGGTTTCAAGCTTACCAAGACGGCGTCGGACGCCGTCCAACTTGGCTGCCGCGGTGCGTCAGGCACTGCGCAGTATTAGCCACTAGCTGAGCTGCCATTACGAACTAGTAATGTAAATGTCTCCAACAGGGAGTGCATTACAGTATTGCAGTCAACGCCGAAGCACACATTAATCAAATTCTTCAAGAAGTGAAACGGAGAAGAGAATATGAAAAAGGTATAAGAATTACAACACCCGCAACCAAACAGGGAACACGATATACACTGAGAGTAAGAGGAACGACTCCCATAGTGGTGGAACTATGCGCGGTGTTAGAATTGGGACAGATAAGATAAATAATCTTAACAAGTTTTTAGTATATAAATATTTATTATAATTGACGAACATTTTTAAATACTTTTTCAATTGTACAATGACATAGTAGCAAGCAATGAAATAGATTAACGTAAATGGAGCACCTGATGATGGCACTGTAGTGCCGAAACATGTTGTGAAGTAACGAATGAAATTGAGTGCACTAGAAGACGGACACTGCATACATATCATGGACGAAAATCAGTGCAACGGGACGCTAAAATACAACATTACGGTATAAGAATAACCTACATGTATATAGGGGTGGCCGCATTACCACAGTCGTTGTTCTGACGACGCGCAACCTTCGTAAATCCTATTTGTTGATAGACATCTATAACCTTGACCATATTACCGATTACAAGAAAAATCTTTCCACTAATATACCCGAGCAAATTCCATTTCCAAAAACTACGAACACAGTCAGTGAGCGAGCTTCGTAGCGTACGGATGTCAATCGAGTTCTCGTGCTATCAGTACCGCTGCTTCTAGAAGCGCACACAAGTGAGTTTATATCTTTATATTACTATAACTCTGACCTTGATTCTGTTGGTGCTATTATAGTGAACACAGTGAACAAATTAAACAAATAAATCCTGTAAACAATACCAACCCTGAACAGACAAGGATCGTATGTAAACCAACCAGCATTTTCTACAAAAATTGCTACACAGAGCAACCTACCATATAATACGCAAATGCAATAAATATACAAGCAAATGCCGCAAGGGTCATTACAACCACCATCGGGACAGCCTGTACCACACAACAACACAGTCTACCTACCACCACAACAGTACGTCAACAGTTCTCCTAACATCCAACAACCCATATATAACAGCAACCAGTACTACCACAAAATGTCATCTACCAGTGAAGAAGAAGAAGTAGCTAGTAGCAAAAATACTTGGCAGAAAGTGAAAGTCACCAAAAAAGAAAGATAAGCAGGAAAACCGAACCAACTGTGAATATCAAACTAAGCAACAGTTTCAGTGCATTACCTGAACCCATGGAGGAAAACACAAACGAAATAAAAACTGAAAATAAAATACCAAAACCACCACCAATATTCATTTATGGGGTAACAAATTATGAGTAGATGGCCGAGAAACTCGGCGAAATAATGGAGGAAGAACAATACACTACCAAATGCCAGGAAGACAACACCGTAAAAGTGAGCTGTAGGATACCGGACAACTATAGAAAATTAGTAACCCTCCTCAAAGAAAACAATGTTATTTATCATACATATCAACTAGAAGAAGAACGTGCGTTCAGAATACTGCTGAAACATATTCACCATTCTACCAGAACTGACAAAAAGGGGTCATCAAGTACGAAACATCATAAATGGAAGACACAGGGTGACAAAAGTGCCCCTAAACATATTCTTCATCGACTTAGAACCCTCCTGGAACAACAAAAAAGTTTACAAAATAAACTACCTCCAGAACAAAGCACTCATCATAGAACCATTACGGAAGGCATGCGGAATCATTCAGTGTACGAGATGCCAACAGTACGGACACTACAAGACATACTGCAACAGGCCTTATGCATGCGTCAAATGCGGAGGCGCACATAACACCTGTATCTATAAAAAATCAAGAGATACTCCTGCCAGATGTGCCCTGTGCAATGGCGATCACCCCGCCAACTACAAAGGATGCGAATTCTATCATAGTCTACTCAAACCCAACAATGCAAACAACAGTTTAAACATTCACCAACAAATAATAAACCCAAACATCCCATCAAAAATTGAGGTTAAGACAACACGGCAACACCAGCAACATTATCATCAAAACCTTTAACAGAACCAACAAAACACAAGCTACGCAGACGTGGCCAAAAGGGGATTAAACTACACCGCAAACGAAGATACCAACATTTTAACCAAATTCCTAGAGGAGTTCAAGTCCATGTTCAATCAAATCATCCAACAGAACAGCACGGTGTTAAACATGCTAACAACTCTCATCGGTAAAATCCATTAAATTCCTCAACATTGCTGAATGTAATGCCAATGGCCTTCTGCAACACAAAAATGAGGTAGAAATCTTCATTCGCCATAACCTCATAGACGTCATGCTAATTAGCGAAGCACAGTTCACAGACAGATCTTATTTCAAAATATCCCAATACACGACATACTACACAAATCACCCTGACAACACGGCCCACGCTGGGACCGCTACACTAATCAAAAATACTATTCGACATTTTGAACTACTGAAGTATGAGAAAAATCATACGCAAGCCACAGTAATTCTGGTTAAAATGATGACGTACGACCTAAAAATTGCTTCAGTATACTGCCCTCATCGGTATAATATAAAGAAAGAACAATTCAGCGAGTTCTTCCAGACGCTCGGACCAATATTCGTAGCAGGAGGTGACTTCAACTGCAAGCACACACTATGGGGCTCCTGCCTCACAACAACCAACTAGCAAACCTGATCCAGGAGATAAATTACTCTATCCTGTGAACCGGCGTTCCAACTTACTGGCCCACCGATCGCTCCAAAATTCCGGATCCCCTAGATGTTTTCATCACCGGAGGCATCTCCCCATCATACATGCACACAAAATCTAGCTATGATCTCTCTTCTGATCACTGGCCTATACTAGCAACAATCAGCAGCCTCATCATTCACAAAAAACCTCGGATTAGGCATCATAACAGAAGAACTAATTGGGAACATTATCGCACCGAAACTGAAGAAAACATAAACCTAAAAGTAAGCCCCCAAAACCCAACTGAAGTGGATGATATTTATTATTATTATTATTTATTAACAATCAGAATTACGTACATTCTATAGGTTAATGGTTTCGCTAAGGACTATTACATGTCATGCGAGGAAAATGTCCATCGACATTACCTCTTCAGAAGTTGATTTGTTTTATATCAGGTCATTTGGCCATTTCCTTTTTAGTCTTCTATTGTTGACTGGCTCCCTGAGTGGTTGCAATAGTTCGTTCTCGTGGGTTTCAATTTTGCTCATGTGTTGGCGGTTTCTGTCCAGGATGATTTCTTTCACGAATTTTAAGTTCAAGTCTTGATGTAGGGTTTCGTTTGACACATACCAAGGTGCGTCGACTAACATCCTTAGGATTTTCGATTGTGACCTTTGGATAATATTGATGTTGGACTTACTGGCACATCCACAGAGTTCAGTGCCGTGAGTCCAAATTGGTATAATTACTGTTTTGTATATAAGGAAGTTGATGATGTACTAACAAACTTAACAACTACTCTCACAAAGGCAGCTGAACAGGCAACTCCTAAGCTGCAAACCCAAAACCAAGTCTTAAATAACATCTCAATCGAGATAGACAAACTAATAGCACTCAAAAGAAAAGCAAGAGTCAAATGGCACCGAACACACGCACCGCAAGACAAAACAGCTCTAAATAGAGCAATTAATCAGTTAAAAATTAAAATCAAAGAAGAAAATGAGCATTTCACGATTATATCACCAGTCTTAATAGATTTGACAACACAATCTGGAAACCAATCAATATTTAAAATTTAGCAATATATATGACAAATATATATTTTAGTATAAAGGCAACAGGGCATGCAATGCAGTACTTCGACGTACATCGAAAAGCACCTGAAGACGGCACTTTAGTGCCGAAACATGTAGTGCAAGAGAGAAGAGAAAGGTGAATACTCGTAAATGTATGCACTGTAAGACGGTCAGAATAAATCATGGGTATGCTTTATCCCATTGTGAGAAATGAATAAGTGTTAATTAGAGTCAGTGAGCAGAGGAATATCCTACATGAAATAAGAAAACGGAAGGCTAATTGGATTGGTCATGTTTTACGCAGAAACTGCCTTCTAAAAGAAGCTATCGAAGGAAAGATAGATGGGCGGATAGAAGTGACAAGAAGACGAGGAAGAAGACGTAAGAAGATGCTGGATGACCTTGGGGACAGAAGAGGATACTGTCATTTGAAGGAGAAAGCTCTAGATCGCATTAAGTGGAGGAATTGTTTTGAAAGAGACTGTGGACCTGTCGTCTTGACAGATTACTGATGATGATGATGATGCTTTATCCTAGCAAGGGGTCAAATTTACGTGTTATTGATTAGAAAACAATTATAAGTTTTATAAATTTAAAATACGTCGGGTGAACCACAAGTTGTAAACCCGCCAGAAGCCAGAGTTGAGACGCCGTACATTCTTTAGCCATCCGGTGTCAGTTGTACAGTCTATAGAAACTGCTGACAAATTAAACGACGACACGAGGCAAGTCTCGCCATCGCACAGTTTGCTGACTTAGGGGTTTTACATGAGCAGCTTTTCGTGATGTTGAATGTTGAGGGGTTCAGACGGGAGGAGCCGCGAACACTCTGATTTTAGGAATAGCTCAGAACAGTCGCGTGGTAGGAAGGAGACGCGATGGAGTCAGATGTCTTCCTCTTTTGTGAACGTGAGTACTTGCCTGTGTTCGGATCACTGGTGACTGTCAATATATGATTCTGGTTGGTTAATGTTATTAGGAAAATTGGTTGAATTATTTTAACATATTATGGACAGTTAAATGTAGGAAATTAGAATCAGGGGTTTAATCGAAGGTTTTGTGTGTATTGACAAGTTGTTTGTTGTAATGGTGTTTATTTCATTATATTTTACTTTATTGTTGTTGGTGGGTACTCGATTTATTTGTGGATCCCCCGAATGCAAGCATGTTTTCCACCTCACAGGTTAAGAGTTATCCACGAAGTCCGATAGGGGGTGAGTACAGTCACTGACCCCTATCAGGGCACAACAAATTGGTGGTAGCGGTAAGATATAGGAAGAAATTTTACTGTCGCAATCGTTGTGGCACAATAACCTATACAAAGAATAACATAAACATAGAATAAACACACACAGACATCCAAGCCTTGGGTGGGATTCGAACCGACGATACCTGTGTCCAAGTAGACGAAGACAGTTCATGCCCTTGACCGCGCGGTCACTGTGGTCGGCTTAAAAGGAATGCCAACAGCACGTGTTCACAAGAGGCCACCAATCCAAGTGCTAACCACGCCCAATGTTTCTTAACTTCGGTGACTGGAATGCCATAGGCCTACGTAAGCTAAATGTACATAATTTTGTGGTATGACAATTCTAAAATTACAATTATACTGGACATGTGTTCCGCGTTTAACGGTTCTCCACAAATCGTACTATAAGGGGCCGAAACCGTGCAGAACCGGAAACTGCTCCACAATGAAACTCCCTACATTAGCTATGGAACACAAACCGTGTCGTACCGCGAAGCAACGTATGTCATGGAACTGAGTAGCTCTGCCATATATACAAGTCTCGCGTATCAAACCAGCTGTAACATAAGTGGGCAAATTCAGAAAGTCCTTCCCAGTTATCTCATGTTCTGCCCTTTGCGACAATTTTTGACATCTTCATTGAGATGTGTAATGAAGACATATTTATTTTGTTCTATCTACATCGTCAGATTTTATGTAAATGTATATAAATGGAAAAATACGTAAGTTTTGTGTGTAGGTTTACTTATAATGTACGCTTAATTGCTCATTATAAGGAAACGATCACACTAATTGGCAAAAACTACGTTTCTCTTATCCAGCGATTATCGAATGTTACCAGTTACTGACCTTGTATTTGGATACTGGTAAAATGAAGACACTCCGCTCATTCAGGTGTAACAGCACCTTCAGTGTATACTCGTACTGATAAAAAAGTTAATATAATATATGTAATAATGAATAATTGTTACTCTCGTTAATGCAGACGCGTTTCTGTGAACAGCTGTACATAAATTCATTCTTACGGTTCCCACTTCATGTAACTTACATGCACGGCTTCCTGGATTCCCAGCTGTAACCATATTGTCAACGTAACGGCCTCCAGGATCACCATCCAGGTCCCACAGACATGTTCTGTCTCTCAAAATGAGATATATGACAATGATCAAGCTAACAGCGATCAATGTCCCCTAGAACAACACGGCGTACATCTCACAACGTTTTATTTTGCCTCCGGTGGATTATTATTGCCCAATGGTTAAATGGCGACCGGTGAAGTCACAGTACTAAACTCGTAATTCTTGTTGCTCTAGGTAAGATCTTTAGGCTGAAGACTGGTTAGAAAAGAGAACGAAGAACTAAGTTCATGGCACACCAGAGGCAGCAGCATTGCATTGGAAATCTGTTATATAGAGCCCGTTTCCTTCAACTGTGGGCTCTGGGTCATTCATCCCATAGACAAAGCTGTTTCTGGCGCACGTAATATGAGAACAGACTACATTTCTTACATGTTTTGATGCCGCAACGGTAACTACCGCCGACCGATCCCACTTTGCCATCACCTTTGCCCTTGCAGTACTTCAATCCGCAGGGGTACCAACCTATACACATCTCAAGATGGCACAAGCACGGCGTCCATGGGTCTACTGTTTCGAGGCACCGTCCTGTGGATGCCCCAACAGCTGCCGCAGGATCTTCTTCTATGGCATTGACGGCTACTCCGGCATCATGACGAGCCACCGAAGGTATTGGAGAAGGGTACCGGATGACGGCTCCCAACAGTGCAGACAATGAAGCACCTAGAACAAAAAGTGGCCAGATAAGAAGCCCATTCTTCTGTTCATTCTCATATGCACATCAGCCCTGAGGCCTACACAACGCCCCAAGACTATCGGGGTTATAGCGGCCGAATGTTAGGGGTCGCGCATTTAACGCCGGACTGCTCGCTAGAAGTCAATTTGCATCCTGAAGGTCCTGCGACCGGCCAACTCGACCAAGGTTTTCCATGGTTTTCCTCGGTCCTAGAGCAAATGCTGAGTTGGTACCCAAATTCCACGTTGCACTGCGTGCCTCACATGCAGCCCTCCACTTGTTAACATCAAAATTTCGCCCTAATATATCCCTCCCAACGTTAGCCCCCCCCCAAAAAAAATACTATAATGCACCCCTTCCAGAGTCATAAAAATATATAATACAAAAAAATCCGATTATATGCTCTATCTATACCAGAAGGACAAGCGGGCACTGCATGATAACCTTCAAAATCGGAGAGATAGTTTCTTACCCCCCCCTCCCAATGTAGTGTCTCTCACTACCACCCCCACTTCTTCTTCTCTCTCTCAGTAGAGGGAGAGTGGCCAACAGTAGGCTTCAAATGGTTATGAGGCGGCTCGTGTGAGGCACCGTGAGATGACGGTGTTTGTGAGTGAAGACTGGACGAAGGAACATGGAACTATGTGATCAGCCGTTTCCGGGTTACAGAGAGTAGTTATTAATTCAGACTGGTGACGGGGAGGCGGAACAAGAGCCAAAGAAGCGGAACGACAGTCCATAGATCAGGCCCTCATTACGCAGCAGGCGGGACTCGATCCTGAGATAAGCATTGCGAATATACGAGAGAGGGTAAGTACTTAAATGCATGAAGACTACTGCCTCCTCAGCTTCATGCTGTGTACGAGTAGTTTAGTAATCCCAGAAGACAGTAGTCACCGCTGAGTGGACCACAAATCTCACACAGTTAAGGTAATTTTAATTTTGGTTATGTCGAAAGTGGTATTGGCATCACTGACAAAACCAACGAAGCTAAGGAATCTGAACCTTAAGTTGGTGGTCATTTCTTACATGTCGCGGCAACGAATACGTAAGCAGCAATCGAAGTACCCACGGCCTAAAGTCCCTACCGGAGGACTTGTTCCCTGAAATTTTCCGCCCTTAAAAATTTGAATCCGCGCACCATGAGTCATGAGGTGGGAACGTTACCCCTAGACTACGGAGGCCGCTTTACAGACTAGATACTAGTTTGCAAATCTGCGCCGATGATCGTGCATCTCGGTCCAGAGTCTTAAATCAAAAGTAGCTGTGATGAATAACAAGATGTTACGCGGGTAATGTGAACGCGCTTAAAACAGAAGCCATCAGATACTGGCAGTGTTGGACCCATCACCACACGTCTCCGCCTGAATAAGAACGTTTACACCATGCTTCACCGTGGGAAACTGAAGTCAAATATCTCGGGGACACATGAGATAGGAAATCAGTCTTCAAATCACATATGCAATGTGTGCTGAGGAAAGTGCATGGAGACCAGCTGTGCCTATCTTCTTCCCTTCTTGGTATCAGAGTAAATCAACATAGAATCATTCCAAGCACTAATCTTAAGCAATTCTGGGCAAGTCTGGGGCACTTCAGCTGTATCAAAATCGTGCAACGCATCAAGAGAAAACGTACATCGAAGCTACCCAGACGACGGTCACGAGAACACTACACAAGGATCGAAAATAAACGGACAGAGCTCTGGAATTCGCTGGACGCCTGGCCATGCAAATGTACGCCCGGTATCTGACGCATCCGAGACCGACACAAGGACATGACCCAAAGGCAGAGGAAGAAACTAAATACGTATGCTTGCTCTAAGGCCCCCCATACACACACAGTTTGGCCTTCCGATCGACCTTACAGGCAAAACTTTCACAATTTACCCCCTCCCTTTCTTTCCCCATACACGCGCAGCTAAACCGGCAGGTTTCATGCCATAATCACGGTCTTTCAGCCTATAATGTTGAGTCACACGCGTCACGTGCTACGGTCCTGCAGGTAGAACTGACGGGTTTCCCACAGACCAACAGTCCAAACGATTGGCCGGCCGGCCGCACCACACACATCAGTTTTGCCTTTCAGTCTTCAACTGTACAGGCCGAACGGGAGGCCAAACTGTGTGTATGGGGGCCCTAACCCCTGCCGTTCTTTTCGGGAGACTACCGCTTCCTGGCACAGCTGAAGTCCAGCGAACGAGCGTACGTCATATATCGCATAGGCAACCTTAGGGAAGAAAAGCACTGGAGTGTGGAATTCGGAAGTATTTTGAAAAGAGAATAATATGACGTTATGTCCTACGTCACTAACTAGCCTTGACGCATTCCGTTCTCACAACAGGAGGAGCATACCCATCTAAAGCGTTCCCACTTGGAACATACATGGGTAATACCCGTATAAATTAACGGGAAATCTCTGTAGCTGTTATATCGAACCTTAACATACCTTTTTGTTTCTCTAGTATTACCACTGAATCCTATTTATTTGTTCGTCCTAACGTCCTATCATTCCTCCCGCTCCCATACGTCAAAAATATTTGTAAAGCTCGTCAAAAGCACGCCCCGGCTGCTTACTTTGACCCGTCATCTCTTTTATTCGGCCCGAAATCATGTACACGGTGTTACATATATCACTTTTGCAAGGAAATGGCGTGAAAACGGCGTCACAACAACCCGACAAGAAATGCTCTGATTAAATTTATTATACAGTACGCATAATATAACGAATAATCTAAAGCCTATATGAATAGAATGATCAATTCGGGCGGCTGATCTTCAGAGGGAATTACAGAGAATCCACCCATCATTAGCATCGGGATCGGGCCCATAATCCCCTGCGCAGAATCAAACTGACAGACCGTATAATGCGCTGACAATTATCATGACATTTGGACGCACATGTAAGGAAACCGAATGTAGTCACAATAAATGTATCACTGTGTTCTTCAATTGTAATTCAGCTCATCTCTAACCGCTGTACTCTGATGTTCCTGACATGCAAGAGAGACTGTTAATCAAGCAACATACAACACATGTCAGGCGAACCTCGTATTCTCTTCTTTGTGGGACTGCTGCCTAGAAGTAAGTACTTATCCGAAAGATCCTGGGATAACCATCTCAACACATATTTTCTCGGCGTTCCTGTATTTTAAAACAACTAAGTTTAAAGTTGCTCCTGCAAGCTTCTGAAGTAGTAGCCCTGGTTTAAAATAATCAGACTTGAGCTTCTTTCTGTGGAAGTTACCAAATTTGTGTAATTTACACTTAAGGAGAAAATAAGAAATATCCCGTGACCTTTCTCTCAACCCAAAAACGTTCTAATGTACTCAATTTCACAATCGTTACCACAAGGACGAGCGGACGAAGCCTGGAAACATTCTAACAAAAGTCTGCTCTTTCTCCTCATGGACTAAAGAGTCTATCAATTTTCCCGCGATTTCCCCCCTTTAATAACCTGCTCTTATTCTGTTCCTTCTTATTTGCCTCATTATTATTTAATAATATTAAAAATAATAAATAAATAAATAATATAAATAATAAATATTATTAAAGTTATTTTTGTGTGTAATAACAAAAAAGAATCCGATCATGAACTCCACCATTCGACTCAAATGACTGTCAACCGTACAGAATTCGAAGAACAATGGACGATTCGTATTTTAATTATGGCAGGATTCCGAATCATATTTATTCGCATTCGTTTACCTGTTGGAAACTGATCTACTCCAAACTCTACAGCAAACTATGAGGCAATTTGGAGGCTTGGACCACAGAAAGTAAACACACATACGCACATATTCAATTAGCTCCGTACGGTCCCAGTACCGAACAAATCATACGACTGGCGTAATTTTGTTATCAACCAATCCTGTTGATTTAATACCGTAACAAAAAAGTTACACTGATAATTCCATTCCAGACTGCATATGCCAGGTGTAAAAGTAACTTCCCACCTTCCTGTGAACTGTTTAGAGTAGGATTAATCACTCATATCTGACAATGCAAAAGTCACACGGGACAGGGATCTTGGGATTTAGGACACACTGTATCCGCGCTAAAAATTTATTTCCGAGTACTGAACGTGGCAAACACAAATCCTGCATATAACAATTGTATTTACCAAACACACCTCAGTTCTACTATGTATCTGGAGGCAGCCGGTTCCTCCGAAACGTTGGTACCGATACACAATGTCACGTGTTAAAAGTAACTTTGTTATGTGAAAACCAAAGACAAAAATCAGTGCGAGAATATAGCAGGAGGAACAATAAATTATTTATTTAAGTAGAGTACGCCTAAATACCTGGAATACAATATAGCCTACATCTCAACTATCGCAGAATGTTAATACGAAATTAAGTAAAAAGTAAAGGTATCCCTGTAACAGGCAGTGGAGGCACATAGGGTTGCGAGATGTTGAAGCTCCCACATTTTCTAGACAATTGGCTCGGAGATGGCGGTAAGGTTGTCAGCCTTACGCGCCGGCCCCCCTTTACCCCCGAGGAAGATTCCGGGTACTCATTTCTGTTAGAGGCTGAGTCGATCCCACGGCCATAGTGCGGCTGGAAGGATTAGGTCAACTGAAAAAAATAAATTTCATCGGGGCTCGAACCTTTAATCTTCCGGCCTGTAGCACAGTGCCTCAACCATCTACGCTACCGCGTACACCATGAAACTAAGTAGTCCGCGACATACTCGTATGTGTTGCACAATTACCAGAATACTGAGTAATCGAGCAAGGACATATAGACTCTTAGAGTTATACAATGACTATACGTACACTGCTGTACGCAGCAGAGCGCTTGGCCCAACGTACCCAGCAAGAGAGACGAACTTAGACAGATGAAATGAGGATCCTAGCGGCTGTTACAGGTTCCAGGAGAAGAGAACATATGAGTCAAGAACTATATTCATTCGAAATTCTAGCAAAATACGCGAATATCAAACGAACTGGTTCCACCACCTAGAAAGAATGGATGAAAGCAGAT